CCAGAAGCAAAAACCAAATTCCAACTGTGTGTGTGCATTTATTAATTACATCCTTGTGTTTTATGTGATTTCCACTGGTCCTATTCGCTTAAATCAGGGAGTGATGATCTTCATCATCCTGTGTTGCTGTCAGACTGTACAATGAAAGCTGCTGAGCAATTTCATAATTTCTACTGAATGTCACTTTATATACTTAATTGATTCTGCCATATCTATCTATTATATATCCATGGGACTTCCTGATTGGCGAAACGGCAGAGGGTAACACATCAAAATCAAAACAATAACAACTTTTACGGGTCGTAAAACTAATTTTGATATTCAAATATCTCGGCTGAACTACTGTTATCAGTTGTCAATGTCAATGTCAATTTTATTTATATAGCACACTTAAAACAGCCACAACCGCCCAAAGTGCTGTACAACAAACATTATAAAATACAAATGAAGAGTAAAACAGTCACAAAATATACAACATGAAAAAATAATAATAAAATACCAGTTAAAGGTGTATTCGAAAAGAGCATGATTTAATAACGCCTTTTGAAATATGGGGGCCATTTAATGATGACTTGACATGCAAATATTACATACTGCTACTTTAAATAAATCAGGGGGGCCCACATTGCGCGATGGCTTTGGTCTCACAGATGAATAGGCTGTAGCCCTCAAAGTCAAAAACCCCAGAGTAATAAAGCTGTTTCCTTTCAGCTCTCTCCGCCTCCCGAATACATCGACGAGCGCCTCTCCCTGTATGCTAAGCTAAAAGCCGAGCACGACGCCCTGATAGCGGCGCGAGCAGCTAGCGAGAGCAAAGCCATAAAGGTCACTCTGCCGGACGGGAAAGTGGTGGACGCTGAATCCTGGAAGAGCAGTCCGTACCAGATCGCGTGTGGGATCAGGTATTGTCCGTCCGCATGATTGGATGTGGACATGTGTTCACTGTCACTGTGTCCCAGAGCCTCATGCTGCTAACATGTACAGATGTAAACATACAACTGTATATTTCTGCACTAGAATATACAGAATTGGACTTTATTTTGCTATAGAAAGACTTTGTACTTTTGTCTTTTATTATGCTAAAGCTAGAGTTTTACTTTAGCATAGGTTTAGTATTCACTCCTCATTCCTACTGTTCTGTAAACTGTGTGAGGAAATGACTTTATCTTTTCCTGTGACGTGTGACATCACTCTGGTCTGCTCAGCCAAGGCCTTGCTGACAACACGGTGATCGCCAAAGTCAACAATGTGGTGTGGGACCTGGACAGGCCTCTGGAGGAAGACTGCAGCTTACAACTGCTCAAGTTTGACGACGAAGAAGCTCAAGCTGTAAGTGGAGACGTAGAGACTTTTTGAATTGGTAAAAATCGCCACCATTGACGGAGAATGGTTTCGTAGCATCCTCAGGAAATGGCATGAGATGAGGGAGATGGAAGCTTCAGATTTGCCTTATGTCTGTGGTCTGTGGCACTCATTAGACTAAAGTGGATGTCTTTTCGGTTTTTACACAATGTGGCATGAAGTGTATTAACTAGTCCTGTCAATTCACGCAAAGACAGGTACAGCGGGCATGAGAAAACAAAAGCAGTCGCTCACTGCTGATTCCGTCAATCGGTAATCACAACGATCTCCAGCCCAAACGTTGAAGCTAGTTATTACCACTATTACTGTGTGCAAAAACAAAAACAAAAGCAGACATTGAGCAGATATTAGAGAATCCAACTACTTTCTTTTGAAGGGGATTGGATTAAAATAGTTTTAAAAGTTATTTTTTTCAAAGGACATTTGGATCATGGAAAAACATGATTCACCAATAGTTAACTTTAGCGATTATTGGCGATTCAATACTTAATTAAATACTAATTATTGGACAGCACTTGTTTGTTTAGTCGGTTGATTATAACACATGTGGTGGTCAATTTTTAAAATGTAACTTATAAGAATTATTTTTGTTAAGACTGCAAAAAATTTAGAAAAATTAAGAAACGTAGCAGAATAGTTGGGATTTGAGTTTTTAGTCAGAATAATGTAGAATTCACTTATTTGATAATTGCAACATCTTGTTCTTTTTTCTTTAGTTGTTTTGTTAAAGGTTAAAGTGGATCAGACGCATAACTTTTATAAGAGCATCTAGATTCAATTCAATGTATTCCTGTATAGCCCTAAATCACATCCGTAGCAGACATATAGTTTGTTTTTGTACTACTTCGTCTCTGAAAACCGTCGGAGCTGAATTTGCTCCGGGACAAACCGATCGAAAACCATTTGAGCTCAATCTTCACTGGTTCCAACCGCTTTTCTCACAGGTTTACTGGCATTCCAGCGCCCACATTCTGGGTGAAGCCATGGAGCGAGTGTACGGCGGCTGTCTCTGCTACGGGCCTCCCATCGAGAGCGGCTTCTACTACGACATGTTCCTGGAGAATGAGTGAGTGGAGTTTACGTCGGGGTGTGGCCTCGGGGCTACGGACATTCAGGTTTTTACTTAGAGTAGGAGCTTGTCTCACGTTTTCAGGAAGACTGTTCCAGATTTCAGGTGCGTGAATTTGAAATGCAGCCACCCCTGTGTTAAGTCCTGACTCTAGGCCCCAGCAGGAGGCCAGTCCCTGTGCTCTTCAGAGTCCCAGCAGGAGGCCGGTCCCTGTGCTCCTCAGAGTCCCAGCAGGAGGCCGGTCCCTGTGCTCCTCAAGAGTCCCAGCAGGAGAACAGTCCCTGTGCTCCTCAGAGTCCCAGCAGGAGTCCGGTCCCTGTGCTCCTCAAGAGTCCCAGCAGGAGAACAGTCCCTGTGCTCCTCAGAGTCCCAGCAGGAGAACGGTCCCTGTGCTCCTCAGAGTCCCAGCAGGAGTCCGGTCCCTGTGCTCCTCAGAGTCCCAGCAGGAGTCCGGTCCCTGTGCTCCTCAGAGTCCCAGCAGGAGAACAGTCCCTGTGCTCCTCAGAGTCCCAGCAGGAGTCCGGTCCCTGTGCTCCTCAAGAGTCCCAGCAGGAGAACAGTCCCTGTGCTCCTCAGAGTCCCAGCAGGAGAACGGTCCCTGTGCTCCTCAGAGTCCCAGCAGGAGTCCGGTCCCTGTGCTCCTCAGAGTCCCAGCAGGAGTCCGGTCCCTGTGCTCCTCAGAGTCCCAGCAGGAGAACAGTCCCTGTGCTCCTCAGAGTCCCAGCAGGAGGCCGGTCCCTGTGCTCTTCAGAGTTGGTTCAAAAGGCACTCACATGTCAGATTTGAGGCCATGGTGAGACTTGTAACAAAAAGAGAATTGATTTGAATGTAATTTCAAAACGTTCAACCGGTCATTATTTATTGATAATGCTCATCTCAAAAACAATAGTGACCGCTGCCCTTTGGCAACGCACTCTCTGCTTATAATTCAGTTGTAGATTACTCTGCAAGTAGTTCCGGTCACAACGAGCTACGTCACTGCTACTGTCTGTGCAGAGAGAAACTATCGGAGCTAGCCACGCTCAATAATCAATAACACATTTAAATGTTAAAGGGAGAATACATTATACATTCTTAACACGCATGCACGGAGGTTTTCAGAATGATCTGTTCACGTTTTCATGACAAAAATACTGATTTAATGCGACCCGGAAGTAACCATTAACATTAGTAAAACATTATAGGACACATTTGCTGAGGAACGAATTATGGATAAATGTTGAGTGTATTTACGGGTCACTCACCGCTCATGTTCAGAATTCTTTGTTCAGTTTTCATGTAGTTCAAGAGAGTTCTAGTCTTGAAGTAGGTTAGCTAGCCTAACTGTTCCTCAATAGCCACTTGAAAACCTTTGGGAACTATTTATTTCGGCATTCATAAGAGTGGACTGAAGTTTATTTTGTGTGTTCAGTTGGTACAAAGCCGTATAATAAGCGGGATAATGTAAGGGATAATATACTATACGTTATCCCTTACTTCTCTGAGGCACAGGAACCCAGTGCAGAGACCTGAAATGGGTTCGATTCCACGACCAGGCCTGTCTGTGCGTAGTTTGCATGTTCTCCCTGTGTCTGCATAGCTTTCCTCTACCACTAAAAACATGTACAATAGGTCTGGCATGTGTCTCCTGTACGTCGACCTCGCTCCCATCTCTGTGTGGAGCGAGAGACAAATGCCCACCACAATTGTAAAGTGCTTGGTGACTCCGGTTTGTAAAAAATGCTAATTAGATAAAGATAACTTGCGTAAAATGAAGGAAAAAATATGTTCTATTAAAATGTAGCTTGTGCTGTTTGTAAACAGGCGCCGTTATCAGATGTCCTGTTTCATTTGTTTTCTACAGAGGAGTCTCCAGCAACGACTTCCCCGGCTTGGAAACCCTGTGCAAGAAAATTATCAAAGAGAAGCAGCCGTTTGAGCGACTGGAGATCAAGAAGGAGACGCTGCTGGAAATGTTTAAGGTATTTCCACTTGATTGTGTGCATGTGTGTGAGTGTGTGTGAGTGTGTGTGAGTGTGTGAGAGTGTGTGAGAGTGTGTGAGAGTGTGTGAGAGTGTGTGAGAGTGTGTGAGAGTGTGTGAGAGTGTGTGAGAGTGTGTGAGAGTGTGTGAGAGTGTGTGAGAGTGTGTGAGAGTGTGTGAGAGTGTGTGAGAGGTGTGTGTGAGAGTGTGTGAGAGTGTGTGAGAGTGTGTGAGAGTGTGTGAGAGTGTGTGAGTGTGTGTGAGTGTGTGTGAGTGTGTGAGAGTGTGTGAGAGTGTGTGAGAGTGTGTGAGAGTGTGTGAGAGTGTGTGAGAGTGTGTGAGAGTGTGTGAGTGTGTGAGAGTGTGTGAGAGTGTGTGAGAGTGTGTGAGAGTGTGTGAGAGTGTGTGAGAGTGTGTGAGAGTGTGTGAGAGTGTGTGAGAGTGTGTGAGAGTGTGTGAGTGTGTGTGAGTGTGTGTGAGTGTGTGTGAGTGTGTGTGAGTGTGTGTGAGTGTGTGTGAGTGTGTGAGTGTGTGTGAGTGTGTGTGAGAGTGTGTGAGAGTGTGTGAGAGTGTGTGAGAGTGTGTGAGAGTGTGTGAGAGTGTGTGAGAGTGTGTGAGAGTGTGTGAGAGTGTGTGAGAGTGTGTGAGAGTGTGTGAGAGTGTGTGAGAGTGTGTGAGAGTGTGTGAGAGTGTGTGAGTGTGTGTGAGTGTGTGTGAGAGTGTGTGAGAGTGTGTGAGAGTGTGTGAGAGTGTGTGAGAGTGTGTGAGAGTGTGTGAGAGTGTGTGAGTGTGTGTGAGTGTGTGTGAGTGTGTGTGAGTGTGTGTGAGTGTGTGTGAGTGTGTGTGAGTGTGTGAGAGTGTGTGAGAGTGTGTGAGAGTGTGTGAGAGTGTGTGAGAGTGTGTGAGTGTGTGTGAGTGTGTGTGAGTGTGTGAGAGTGTGTGAGAGTGTGTGAGAGTGTGTGAGAGTGTGTGAGAGTGTGTGAGAGTGTGTGAGAGTGTGTGAGAGTGTGTGAGTGTGTGAGAGTGTGTGAGAGTGTGTGAGAGTGTGTGAGAGTGTGTGAGAGTGTGTGAGAGTGTGTGAGAGTGTGTGAGAGTGTGTGAGAGTGTGTGAGAGTGTGTGAGTGTGTGTGAGTGTGTGTGAGTGTGTGTGAGTGTGTGTGAGTGTGTGTGAGTGTGTGTGAGTGTGTGAGTGTGTGTGAGTGTGTGTGAGAGTGTGTGAGAGTGTGTGAGAGTGTGTGAGAGTGTGTGAGAGTGTGTGAGAGTGTGTGAGAGTGTGTGAGAGTGTGTGAGAGTGTGTGAGAGTGTGTGAGAGTGTGTGAGAGTGTGTGAGAGTGTGTGAGAGTGTGTGAGTGTGTGTGAGTGTGTGAGAGTGTGTGAGAGTGTGTGAGAGTGTGTGAGAGTGTGTGAGAGTGTGTGAGAGTGTGTGAGAGTGTGTGAGTGTGTGTGAGTGTGTGTGAGTGTGTGTGAGTGTGTGTGAGTGTGTGTGAGTGTGTGTGAGTGTGTGAGAGTGTGTGAGAGTGTGTGAGAGTGTGTGAGAGTGTGTGAGAGTGTGTGAGAGTGTGTGTGAGAGTGTGTGCGAGTGTGTGCGAGTGTGTGCGAGTGTGTGAGAGTGTGTGCGGTGGAGTTCAAGTATTTAGTCAGCCACCGATTGTGCAAGTTCTCCCACTTAAAATAATGACAGAGGTCTGTAATTTTCATCATAGGAATGAGAAAAAAATATCCAGGAATTCACATTGTAAGATTTTTAAAGAATTTATTTGTAAATTATGGTGGAAAATAAGTATTTGGTCAATAACACAAATTCAACTCAATGGAAGGAGGTTTTGGCTCAAAATCTCACGATACATGGCCCCATTCATTCTTTCCTTAACACGGATCAGTCGTCCTGTCCCCTTAGCAGAAAAACAGACCCAAAGCATGACGTTTCTTGGGATGCAACTCAGTATTCTTCTTCCTCCAAACACGACGAGTTGAGTTTATACCAAACAGTTCTACTTTGGTTTCATCTGACCACATGACATTCTCCCAATCCTCTGCTGTATCATCCATGTGCTCTCTGGCAAACTTCAGACGGGCCTGGACATGCACTGGCTTCAGCAGGGGGACACGTCTGGCACTGCAGGGTTTGATTCCCTGTCGTCGTAGTGTGTTACTGATGGTAACCTTTGTTACTTTGGTCCCAGCTCTCTGCAGGTCATTCACCAGGTCCCCCCGTGTGGTTCTGGGATATTTGATCACCGTTTTCATGATCATTTTGACCCCACGGGATGAGATCTTGCGTGGAGCCCCAGATTGAGTGAGATTATCAGTGGTTGAAATATCGTTGTGGACTACATTTGGGCCATCTTTTATACAGATAATGAGTTCAAACTGGTGCCATTAATACAGGTAACGAGTGGAGGACAGAAGAGCTTCTTAAAGAAGAAGTTACAGGTCTGTGAGAGCCAGAGATCTTCCCTGTTTGAAGTGACCAAATACTTACTTTCCACCATAATTTACAAATAAATTCTTTAAAAATCCTACAATGTGAATTCCTGGATATTTTTTTCACAGTTGAAGTGTACCTATGATGAAAATTACAGACCTCTGTCATTATTTTAAGTGGGAGAACTTGAACAATCGGTGGCTGACTAAATACTTTTTTGCCCCACTGTATATGGGTCTTTTTTATTTTTTATTATCTAACCATTATTTAAAGTAGCAATATGTAATATTTTCTTGTCAAGTCATCATTAAAGGGCCCTGATCTGTCCAAAGGCATAAATAAAACATTCTTTACCAATACCTCTTGAACTGATAACCGTAGTTCAGAGATATTTGAATTTCAAAATTACTTTTCCAGCCCCTAAATCTTGTTATTGTGTTCATTTCGATGTCCCGCCCTCCACCTTTTCACCAATCAGAAAGTCCGTGATCTGGATCGCCAGAACTGACCTTGTCAAGCGATTCTCACTGGTAAAATACCATGTGGGCGCAGAGCTAAAAAGGTCTTGTTATGATTCTCAAACGAGGAATAAAACGAGGATTACTATCGGGCCTTTGTGAAAAAGGTGTTGGTTATATATTTGTTGATGTCAAAACTCTTGTCTGTTTAGATATTTTGTTCTCAGCTGGACTCGTCTACATATCTGGCAACCTGAGTTAGGGAGAGGGGGAGAGGCTGCAGTACCACTTTTGGCCAGATTACCAATCAATATACCAATCAATATACGCCCCCACCCTCACCACTGGTCGTTAGCTTTGGCTGAGCGCTGTTTGGGATGACAGTGAGGAGACCCCGGGAAAGACCCAGGACACACTGGAAGGACTATGTTAAACTACTGCCCCTGCAACCCAGCAACGGATCAAGCATAACACAATTAAGAGATTTAGACAGATCCTTTATTCGTCCCACAGCGGGGAAATTTCACTGTTGCATCACTAGTTACAGAACAGTAGGAAAGAGGAGCACACACAGCACAAGATAAATTAACAATAGCTATACTATTTAAAATTAAACCAAATCTCCAACTCTAGCATCAAAGAACCAAGTATAAAAATCTCTATCTTTAAAGGAGCCGTATGCACAAATCTGGCCAAAAGTGGTACTGCAGCCTCTCCCACTCTCCCTGACTCAGGTTGCCAGATATGCAAATTAATCCAGCTGGGACCATAACAGCTGAATAGACAAGAGTTTAGTCAACAACAAATCTATAACCAACACCTTTTTCACAAAGATAGAAATCCTGGTTCATAATGAGACCTTTTTTTTAGTTGGTACTTTACCAGTGAGATTAGCTCCACGCGGTGAGTTCTGGCGCCCGGATCACAGACTTTCTGATTGGTGAAACGGTGGAGGGCGGGACATCGAATTGAAAACAATAACAAGATTTAGGGGCTGGAAAAGTAATTCAGAAATTCTAATATTTCTGAACTACTGGTATCAGTTAAAGAAGTATTGGAAAAGAGCAAGTTTTATTAATGCCTTTTGACAGACTAGGGCCATGAAAATCTTACATATTGCTACTTTAACATAGTAAAGAAGTATACAATTGTTACATTTGGCATTCTTTTCTGACAGTACAACAAGTTCAAGTGCAGGATCCTCAATGAGAAGGTCACCACTCCCACCACCACGGTCTACAGGTGACACTTTTATTCCGACCATTTTCTGGCAACATTGTTACTCTACTTATTTTACATTTCTGCTGTATTTGTAGATGTGGTCCTTTGATTGACTTGTGCCGAGGCCCTCACGTTCGACACACTGGGAAAATCAAGGCCCTGAAGATCCACAAGGTAAAAAACCTGTGTCCTTAGTGACTCACACAGAGATATTGTGTGTTATTTTAGTTTATCCAGTCCTCATAGAGCCGCAAAGTGGTCACGGGAACATTAGCGGTCTAGCAAGCAGACGGAAATTACTCAAAAATACAAAATACAGCCAAAACAGGACCTAAACCAGGACTTAACCAGGATTGACAATGGGGGACACAGTATTTGTGAACATATGCCGGCAGCTGAGTTCTCATTCAGGCTTGATTAGTGACTATACTAGCGCAGCTAGCGTTAGCGTGTTTGCCTATGCAGAAGTACCGTACCATACCAATAAAATAAACGTATGGCGCACCTCCGTGAACACATACTGCTGTTATATAAAGTCTCTAGAAGGTCTCTGAACACAGAGATGCTGCAGACTTGCATTCTTGGAGTAGAACTTTACACAAAAAACCCGCTAGCTTAGCTGTTAGCATCAAAGCCCGCCCCGCTACTTCCGGTGGGCGCTACCGCAGCAGGACTTCTGTACGCCCCATTGGTGAACCCACATGTCAGTCACTTGTCATTCGCCTGGTGTGTGGGGAGGTGGGACTACTCCTGAGAGATCCTGTCTTAAGCCACACAAAGTCAACATGTTGGTATTTCTTTCTCGTAATCTGCCATAAAGTCTGAGAAATTATTGACATTTGAGGCATCTGTTTTTTTCATTTACAAAAGGTCCTGGCAGTTTTATTCCTGGTCATTTTTTGTTAAGAGACTGAGTCCATTTTATTTATTGTTTTTGGTTGTTAATTTATTGTGTTCTAGCGTTAAATATTCGTTAAAAATAAAAGTTTATTTCTCTTTGAAAAGGTGTACCTGCATTATCATTGTAATCGATGCAAATGATCTCAGAACGACAATATAATCGCTTATCGCAATAATTTCTGAGACAATTAATCGTCCAGCAAAATTTGTTATCGTGACAGGCCTATGTGTGGCAATGTTTTTGCTTCTGAAAACTGCTTGGCTCCGCGGTTGACATGATCTCTTTGTGATTTCCGTATGGGGTCTGTGTTTAGCTCTCAGGCCTGACACAAAAATACATAGTAGCTATAGGACACTGGTTTATGGTCAGGACAGATGAAGGTGAATGAGTCATGGAAGCTTACGTTTAAACTGTTTAACACCTTTTTATTAAATCATGTGTCCACTTAATACAGTCTCTCTGCTACATTACAACAAGAAAGCTTATATTCAGGTGCAGCCTATAATAATAATAATAATAATAATAATAATAATAATGCATCGCGGGGTACACTGACAGAAGCGCGCCTATATGTGGACACAATGTACTTTATTATATATTGTTGCTGGGGCGGCTTATATTCAGGTGCGGCTTATAAAAAAAGTGCAGAAAGTGCGGCATTTTCTCTAATTGTTGGATGACTGAGCGCGTCTGAATATAAGCTGCACCAGCCAAATAAAGAAATGCAGATGTCACACACACTACAGATTCTATTCTCTTCTGGCCCCACTTCCACCACTAGGGGCAGCACTTCTGGTCCGAGCTGAGCACACAGAGCCCGGCGTCTTCTTTTTCAATTATTTCATGTACATTTCAGTAAATAAAATTGTAAATAACTCCTTAGTTTGGGCTCTGATAGCACTGATCAGTATACAAGATGGTTAGGAGAACTTTTAGTGAGAGGAGTGGGAAATGACGCTACTGCTAAAGAATGTCAATTGACTTAAAAGTAACTTCCACCGTGTCACAGTCCGGGGTTTTATTACTGCATAGTTGTGGCGGTGGCAAAGTGTTTTATATAGTTGTTTAAAGGTCAATGAAGAAGCATATTGTTTTCCTTTGATAATCATTGATAGGCTGAATGTCCTGGATGTGTTCAAGCCTGTTCCTATTTCTAGTCGTTTTTACCTTTATGCTGCGTCCCAGGGGAGTGAAGGAAAGTGATGAAAAGGCAAATTCACCCCCTCCTCTCTCTCCCTCTCTCTCTGCTAGAATTCGTCCACATACTGGGAGGGAAAGGCAGACATGGAAACTCTCCAGAGGATCTACGGCATCTCCTTCCCCGACCCCAAAATGCTGAAAGAGTGGGAGAAGTTCCAGGAGGAGGCCAAGAACAGAGACCACAGGAAACTGGGCCGGGTAAGGACTCCATGAGGGAATGAGGGCCGCTCGGCAAAAACTACAACGCAAAAACCTGCAGTTGTGTTCCCAAAGAGCACGTCCCCAATGAAGATGCTGCTCTTCTAGGTCAAATAGTGTTGGGTGTTTTAGTTATAAATATGAATACATGTACAAACTAGGGCTAAACTTTGCCGGATCGGATCTAGCTTCAAATATGAACTGGTAGCAAAGCATTTGTGCTTCTTAATTTGAGCAGCGACAGTGGCTCAGTTGATAAAGTTTTGGTTTTCCGGCCTATTGTTTCATGGGTTTTGATTCCCTACTACTCATCTCACTGACGTCTGCTGTCGTTGTGTCCCTGAGCAAGACGCTTAACTCCAGTCTGCCTGAAGGTGTGGTCTGATTTGTTCACATGTTACTTTAAGGCAAGGCCTATTGCACAGGTCATACCGAAGGCAACTATTCAATCACAAACACACAAGGCATTAAAATCATGAATAATTACAGTGCATCAAAGAGAGTGAAGATAAAATCCTTCAGTTGTTGCAGCAAAACAGAAAAGTTTTAAACCTGGATGTGAACATTGTCAGAGAAGAAGCCTGTCTCACATTTTCAGGAAGACTGTTCTTAATGTTTAGTCCTGACTCATGGACCAGCAGGAGGCCGGCCCCTGTGCTCCTCAGAGTCCCCAGCAGGAGGCCAGTCCCTGTGCTCCTCAGAGTCCCAGCAGGAGGCCAGTCCCTGTGCTCCTCAGGCCCTGTTTATACTGAGACGCTGCGCAGACGTTTCCAGGCTATTAACAGAAACGACTTGGCTCCTAATGCAAATTTCTCAGCGTTCACATGAGGTTGAAAAACGATGTAGTTCTAGCGCCCGGCCAGTAGTGGGCAGAGAAACTTTACAACACTCACACGACCCCCAGCCCAGTGCCCAGCCCCCCTCCCGGCAGTAAATTCACTTCCTGTGCCAGACCCTCAGAATGTACCAACATCATTCTGCATTTTAACAGCAGCTGTGAACATGGAAACTGAACCTAGAGCTTCGCGTGGTCTCGTTTGGACAAACGAAGGAGTAGAATTATCCTCTGTGCAGCGCTGGAAGCCCACGTAGTTAGTTAGTGTGCGCGGCACCATTGTTGTTTTTGTTTGTTCTCTGCTACTGCGCATGTCCAAATTTACGTGCGGGGAGCAGCAGGAGGTGGGGGTCAGCAGAGGGGGATTTCACACCTTTTCCCCTCTCACGGGTGTGAAAGAGCTCCCTGCTGTGCAGCGTTTCTGAGTTGTCCCACTCTGCAGGCTGGATCTGAACACTTACGTTTTCACCCCCCTGAAACACAGTCTCCGTATGAACGGTTGGTAGAAACCGACATCCAACTATACCATTTTACTGCCACATTGTCTCCGTGTAAACTCAGCCTCAGAGTCCCCAGCAGGAGGCCGGCCCCTGTGCTCCTCAGAGTCCCAGTTGGTTCTTATGGCACTAACAGGTCACAGATGTACTTTGGAGTCCAGGACAAAACTGTTTGTGTTGTGACTGAGAATGTTAACAATGAAAACAACCAAGAGCTGTAATCAAAGTGAGTTTATTCATGAGTAAATGTGACAAATACATTGAAAAGTACGTCACCCACACCACCTGCAGCTCTGAGACCGTCTGCCCGGAATGAGGAAATGACAAGACGTTAAATAGACCAGAGTAAACAAACACATATCAAAGTTAAAATCACGATTGATATGAGTGGCTCAAGGCTTCTCTTTGTGCTTTCTTATTCTGAAACAACTCGTGATACATGTAAAAATCTGCATGCTGTCCTTTGACACAGATATTGTAGAAAACGTGTCTCCCATCTATCGCTGACCTCACTGCCACCAGAACAACAGATAATATGGTCTGTGTTTGAATTTTGAGTAGAGGATTCATTCATAAATTACTCTTACAAGTTACTCTTACAAGATTTTCAATTCAGATGTCTCTGCAGGTCAAATTTCTATAACAGGACAAACATGGGGAAATTTTACAGAGAGAAAGCTATGTTCAGCAGCTTTAAAACCCGTGTGGGCAGGAAGCTCGCCACTAAATGACCTCTTGTGGTTTTTGTTTTCCGTCCAGGAGCAGGACCTGTTCTTCTTCCACGACCTGAGCCCCGGCAGCTGCTTCTTCCTGCCCAAAGGAGCCTACATCTACAACACGCTGGTGGGCTTCATCCGGGTGAGTGTACCGCTAAAACGCCAGCTCTTACCGTGACTGGGAGTTTAGCACTGATTTGGCTCTCCTGTTACCACGGTGATCAGGTGAGTTTTGTCGCTAACTGCTGGCCGTGTGTGTCCTTTCAGAGCGAGTACAGAAAGAGGGGCTTCCAGGAGGTGGTGACCCCAAACATCTACAACAGCAAACTGTGGCAGACGTCCGGCCACTGGCAGCACTACAGCGAGAACATGTTTTCCTTCGAGGCGGAGAAAGAGACGTTCGCCCTTAAACCCATGAACTGCCCCGGACACTGGTGAGAAGCCGGACCATAGACTGTGAACAGATGGACAATGCTAACCTGCTAGCTCCTATTGACTTGCATTGAAAAGTAACTCCTCTAGCTCAGTAACTGTTTGTGTCACACTCAACATCTGTGGTTTCTGTGATGCTGGTTATGTGTGATATGTTGATATTTTCTTAATCCTTCATTCTCTGGGGAAACTCCAGCTTGCCTTTGTAACTGTCTTAGAAACACATCTGCCCCTGTTTCTGCACCAAGCTAACGGCAACGGAACAAATGCCCATATGTGAAAAGGGCACCCAAAATCATTGTAAAGGTTTCCAGTCCTGCCTACTCCACGTACATGCAGTTTTCAATTCAATTTAATTTTATATCGCCCTACACATAAATCATCTCTGAGGACGGTAAAAAGTTAAATGTCCTTAAATGTCCTGGATCGTCACTGTCCTTAGACCCTCCTGCATCGGCAAAGAACCACTCAAAAACCCAGTGGGTGAAAGTTAGTAACATTGGGGAGGCCCATATTGAGAGCGGGATCTGTTCCCACGGACGGACTGAGGCTGTAGATCCAGGACTGAGGTCTGTAGATCCAGGACTGAGGCCTGTAGATCCAGGACTGAGGCTGTAGATCCAGGACTGAGGCTGTAGATCCAGGACTGAGGCTGTAGATCCAGGACTGAGGCCTGTAGATCCAGGACTGAGGTCTGTAGATCCAGGACTGAGGTCTGTAGATCCAGGACTGAGGCCTGTAGATCCAGGACTGAGGCCTGTAGATCCAGGACTGAGGCCTGTAGATCCGGGACTGAGGCCTGTAGATCCGGGACTGAGGCCTGTAGATCCGGGACTGAGGCCTGTAGATCCGGGACTGAGGCCTGTAGATCCGGGACTGAGGTCTGTAGATCCGGGACTGAGGCCTGTAGATCCGGGACTGAGGCCTGTAGATCCGGGACTGAGGCTGTAGATCCGGGACTGAGGCTGTAGATCCGGGACTGAGGCTGTAGATCCGGGACTGAGGCTGTAGACCCGGGACTGAGGCTGTAGACCCGGGACTGAGGCTGTAGATCGATCCGGGACTGAGGTGTGTGTGTGTAAATTCTATGGTTTTTTTATGCATCCCTTGTATCTACTTTTACTCTTATAACTTGTTTGCACTTTGAGCCAAAGCCTATCTCCCGTTGGTGACTTCCTGTAAAATCAGTAGGGATTCTGATATAAAGCGCATAGACCTAGCATCTCCCTCTTACCATGTCTCGATTCTCTGCCTCAGCTTGATGTTTGACCACCGGCCTCGCTCCTGGAGAGAGCTGCCCATACGCATGGCGGACTTCGGCGTGCTGCACCGGAACGAGCTCTCGGGGGCGCTCACGGGCCTCACCAGAGTGCGACGCTTCCAGCAGGACGACGCCCACATCTTCTGCTCCATGGACCAGGTGCAGACCACGCCCACTCTGCTCCGACACGATGACAGTCTAATCAAAAACATCGGCAGGAGAGCTCCCTCCCCATTGGTTTAACTGTTCTCCTCAATCTGACTGATGGTGATGCCAGAGGAAGTGCTTTGTGAGAAAATCAATGTCACTTGTCTAGGGGTGCAACGGTTTGAAAAAATCACGGTTCGGTTCGTACCTCGGTTCAGAGGCCACGGTTCAGTTCATTTTTCAAAAAAAAGTTTGGTCTTTTTAATAAACACAGCTCATGTGGACTCGGCACCTGCTCTGACTGCCCCCCCTGACCTAGAAATGGATTAAGGGGAAGGAAATGGATGGATGGATCGAGAGCATATTCCATCCATCCAATTATGTGTTTTTAACATAATTAATGAAAAACAAAACAAAGTGCAACATAAGAAGGCACTTTATGAGGATATTTACCCTCATACATTAAACCACCTGATTCTCCCGAGGAGTCGGTCCATCCTGGGCCCAGCCTCATTCACTGCATTTATTTAATTTTTGGCATTATCAGTTGTGACTGGGATATTAGTACTGGGCCTTTGTCTTCCATTCCTCCGCTGCTGTGTCAGTACCTGTGCTGTGTGACTGTGTGACTGTCGTAGAGGGGGCGTGTCTGCAGCGCCAGACTTTTCATCTCCCAGTCTGCAGTGATGAAGTGAGCGGTTCCGCTCATCTATTATAGGTTCTGTTCCGCTCATGGATCTATTATAGGTTCCGCAGGACGTCCAAGCATCAGTCGTGAGCGCAGCTGAGGATGCGCGGGAGAGTTGACTTTAGCCCGGTCTGACTGTGCGTAAAGGAGCTGCTTAAACGCCGCGGCAATAAGCGGTCGTTGAGATGCTTTTTTTCACTCATGTCTTTCTTGTGCCACAGTTTTTACACACTGTGACAGTTTTGTCGAATATTAATTATCCGTATAGTTACAGTGAAGCCAAAATGCTCTCATACTGGGGATTTAAATGACGCGGGGCTTTCAAGCATCTCCGTTCCTCCGCTCGCAATGACCACGCTGTGTGTGGACTGAACAACGTGCGCACAACTTTTTTTTCATAAATCAAACCGCGGATCACGTCTGTACCGAACCGAACGGATCAGTGATGAACCGTTGCACCTCTACACTTGTCTATAGCTCTCAGTTTGCTTCTATCACTTAAGGTTAAGGTAGACTTTATTTATCCCCATAGGGCAATTTGTCCTCTGCATTTGACCCTTCCAACCGAAGCAGGAACACACCAGATCCCACCCATTTCCTCAAATCTTCAGGATAAAACTGGACTCGGCTTGAGGAAAAGGGTGGAGTCCGGAGTGCTCCTGCTTCGGTTGGAACTAAAACTTGCAGCCACACAAGGCATTTGAGGACCGGTTTGACACCCCGTGCTCAAGGGCCTCTATCAGGAGCAGTGGTCGCCGTAGTTCAGCGCCCGAGGACCTACCTCCAGACGTTAAGTCGTTTGGTCAGGACCGGAGCTGGAGGATTTAAACCTATTGTACATGTTTTTAGTGGTACGGGAACTGACACAGGCAACATATTCTGGGAAATATGTGAAAATAAGTGAACTACTACTCAAAATAAGAACAAATATATAGAACAAGAACATAATACTAGCCCCAAAGTTCAAGTATTATTTACTTTGTTATCTATTAGTATCTTAAAACTAGTAAAATAACCTTACATGACAAACTAAATTCAAGAAAAAAAAATTAAGTAAGCTTTTGTTAATGAGGAGCGAGAGGGCTAACCACTGTGCCACACGGGTCACATTTGTGTTTGGCCTCAGTCTCCACACGGACTCAGAACGTTGACAGTGATTCTCGTCTACAGCAGCCACAGAGACCATGAGGACAAACACACCCCTGAGCTCGCGTTGATCCTGCGACAGAAAGCTCAAAGTTAAACTGTGTTTGCGTTGACGCCGTTATTAATGCGTTAAACTGACAGCGATCGTGTTGATGTGTGCGTTCCTCTTACAGATCGAGGAGGAGATCAAAGGCTGCCTGGACTTCCTGCGCACGGTCTACAACGTGTTTGGATTCACCTTCAAACTCAATCTTTCCACGCGGCCGGAGAAGTTCCTGGGAGAGCCTCAAATCTGGGACCAGGCCGAGAAGGTGAGCGCCGACCTGCTGCACATGCTCGGTGGATCGTCGAGTCTGTTAATGTAGCCGGTTAGCAGCCCACACAGGTTCTTTGTGATTTTGGTGAAAAAAACACTGGCACAAAAGCTAAAAAAAAAAAGATTGTTTGACTTTACAAAAGAGGAGACAAAGAAAGCCTGGGTTTTTTGGCCCGGAAAATGATTAGGGATTTGGATTTGGAAAAGCGAAATATTATTGGGTTCAAAAATCTGCATAAAAGCTAAGAAATCTGTAGTATGGCACGGGACTGAGGCTGTAGATCCGGGACTGAGGCTGTAGATCCGGGACTGAGGCTGTAGATCCGGGACTGAGGCTGTAGATCCGGGACTGAGGCTGTAGATCCGGGACTGAGGCTGTAGATCCGGGACTGAGGCTGTAGATCCAGGACTGAGGCTGTAGATCCAGGACTGAGGCTGTAGATCCGGGACTGAGGCTGTAGATCCGGGACTGAGGCTGTAGATCCGGGACTGAGGCTGTAGATCCGGGACTGAGGCTGTAGATCCGGGACTGAGGCTGTAGATCCGGGACTGAGGCTGTAGATCCAGGACTGAGGCTGTAGGCCCGGCACTGAGGCTGTAGATCCGGCACTGAGGCTGTAGATCCGGCACTGAGGCTGTAAACCTGGGACTGAGGCTGTAGATCCTTGGCTGAGACAGTAAATCAGTCGCAGATCTACAGCCTGTTGTTTTTGTAATGGCCTGGTCCCGCTCGGCTCTTTTTTCAGAAGTACTGGTCGGTCCTGTCCACATGAGAGGGTTTGTCAGTGATCTTAGTGTCTCGCTTTGACGTTATTTAAGTATATATCGCTCGCGCTACAGCTAGTTTCCAACTGCAGTCTCACATAGTCAAACATAGTAAAATGTAGATGCACCTTTAGTCAAGTTAGAAAACATTGATCTACTACTTTCTCATCTTTTTAACACGTCTCTCTCTGTCTCTCTCTTTGTGTGTCTGTGTGTGTGTGTGTCTCTCTCTGTGTCTCTCTCTGTGTCTCTCTCTGTGTGTGTCTTTCTGTGTGTGTGTGTGTGTCTCTCTGTCTCGCTCTGTGTGTGTCTGTCTCTGTCTCGCTCTGTGTGTGTCTGTCTCTGTCTCGCTCTGTGTGTGTCTGTCTCTGTCTCTCTCTGTGTGTGTCTATCTCTGTCTCTCTGTGTGTGTCTCTCTGTGTGTGTGTGTCTCTCTGTCTCTGTCTCTCTCTGTGTGTCTCTCTCTCTCTCTCTGTTTCTAGCAACTTGAAAACAGCCTGAACGAGTTTGGAGAGAAGTGGGTGCTGAACCCCGGAGACGGAGCGTTCTACGGGCCAAAGGTAACGCTGTCCAGGATCCAGGAAGTCTTTAAACTGTGGGACTGCTCTGCTCTAAACGCCGGGTTTCCTTCTTTGCAGATTGACATCCAGATCAAGGACGCCATCGGTCGATACCATCAGTGTGCCACCATCCAGCTGGACTTCCAACTGCCCATCCGCTTCAACCTGTCCTTCGTCAGGTGTGTGTGGATCTGAGGGGTTTGGACTAGACTTGAGCTGGACGTGTGTCATTTAAGCACGTTCACTGTATTTCACATGTTTACAGTCTCAGCAGAATGTCAACTCAGGCTGAAGACATGTTCACAAGCACCGCGTCCCCCATTGTCAGTCCTGGTTTCACCCTGGTTTAGTCCTGGTTTAGCCCTGGTTTGGTCCTCGTTTAGTCCTGGTTTCACCCTGGTTTCACCCTGGTTTCACCCTGGTTTCGCCCTGGTTTAGCCCTGGTTTGGTCCTGGTTTGGTCCTGGTTTGGTCCTGGTTTGGTCCTGGTTTGGTCCTGGTTTGGTCCTGGTTTAGCCCTGGTTTAGCCCTGGTTTAGTCCTGGTTTAACCCATGTTTTAGTCCTGGTTTAGTCCTGGTTTAGCCCTGGTTTAGTCCTGGTTTAACCCATGTTTTAGTCCTGGTTTAGTCCTGGTTTAACCCGTTTTAGTCCTGGTTTAGTCCTGATGTAGTCCTGGTTTAGTCCTGGTTTAGTCCTGGTTTAGTCCTAGTGTAGTCCTGGTTTAGCCCTGGTTTAACCCATGTTTTAGTCCTGGTTTAACCCATGTTTTAGTCCTGGTAACCCATGTTTTAGTCCTGGTTTAGACCTGGTTTAGCCGTGGTTTAGTCTTGGTTAAGTCCTATTATAGTCCTGGTGTAGTCCTGGTTTGGACCTGGTTTAGTCTTGGTTAAGTCCTATTATAGTCCTGGTGTAGTCCCAAATTTGGGTTTTGGCCTGAAAATCTGATGCTTTTAGTAATGTTTAGAAATGTGAGAAATCCCAAAAGCTTCAAACACTTTTTCAGGCCACTGTAGATGAGAAATGTCTGATGTCTCGGCTCTAAAGGCAGCGTGCAAGTGTGTCTGTGATCATTAAAAGCAGGAGAATAAGGATTTGTGTTTGTGTCGTAGCCACGATGGAGATGACAAGAAGCGGCCGGTCATCATCCACAGAGCCATCCTGGGCTCAGTGGAGAGAATGATCGCCATCCTGACCGAGAACTACGGAGGGAAGTGGTGCGTGAGCCTCAGACTCGGCCTCTTTCTTTCTCCTAGTGTTATGCTGGTCCTCTCCTGTCTCTCTCCTAGTGTCATGCTGGTCCTCTCCTGTCTCTCCTAGTGTCATGCTGGTCCTCTCCTGTGTCTCTCCTAGTGTCATGCTGGTCCTCTCCTGTGTCTCTCCTAGTGTCATGCTGGTCCTCTCCTGTGTCTCTCCTAGTGTCATGCTGGTCCTCTCTAGTCTTTCTCCTAGTGTCATGCTGGTCCTCTCCTGTCTCTCTCCTAGTGTCATGCTGGTCCTCTCCTGTCTCTCTCCTAGTGTCATGCTGGTCCTCTCCTGTCTCTCTCCTAGTGTCATGCTGGTCCTCTCCTGTCAGAACCGACTGAGTGAATATGGCTAACCCCCCACCTGTCTGTCTCTCTGTCTCTATCTCTCTCTGCCTCCCCTTCTCTCTCTCCCACTCTCCCTCTCTCTCTCTCTCACTCTCTCTCTGTCTCTCTTCAGGCCGCTGTGGCTCTCCCCTCGACAGGTGATGCTGGTACCAGTGGGACCCACCTGTGAGGAGTACGCCCAGAAGGTAAAGTGTGTGTGTGTGTGTGTGTGTGTGTGTTATTGTGTCTCTGGGCAAGACACTTTACCCACTTTGCCTAAAAGCAGCGCGGAGGTAATGTTTGCTGCATGCCTTGATATTTATACAGTACAGACCAAAAGTTTGGACACACCTTCTCTTCAAAGAGTTGTTTTTATTTTCATGATTATGAAAATTGTAGATTGACACTGAAGGCATCAAAACTATGAATGAACTCATGTGGAATTATGTACATACTAAAAAAAAAGTATGAACCAAGTGAAAATATGTCTTATATTCTGGGTTCTTCAAAGTACCACCTTTTGCTCCAATTACTGCTTCGCTCTTGGCCCAAAACCATCTGGACTGGGTTCAGGTCCTGTGACTGTGGAGACCGGGTCATCTGGCCCAGCACCATCTCTCTCCTTATTGGTCAAACAGCCCTGACACAGCCTGGTGTGGATCTACAGCAATAGTCATGAAAAGAAAGGAAACCCATTGAATGAGAAAGTGTGTCCAAACTTTTGGTCTGTGCTGTATGTGTATTCATCAAACTGGGACGAATAATGGACCTTCTTCTAAAAAAGAAGAGTTTCTATTGTTACTGCTACTCCTCTTACTCTCGCTAAATGGCCACGCCCTCTGATTGTGGACGATGATTGCAGGTGCGGCAGGAGTTCCACGCCGCAGGCTTCATGAGCGACGTGGACCTGGACCCCGGATGCACTCTGAACAAGAAGATCCGGAACGCACAGTTGGCCCAGTACAACTTCATCCTGGGTCAGTGACAACACTTTGATTTTTATTATTGGAGTTTTAAAATGGATGATTCACTGATCCATGAAGGAGACAGTCAGGTCCAGCTGCAGAAACACAGACATGCGTACGAACACCAGGTGCCACAGTAAAGTGCCAAACACACACACACATTAGAATGAGTCTGGTGTGTGTGTGAATGGTTGGTGGTGGTGGGAGGGGCCGATGGCACAGACTGGTTGCCTGGCTTCTGTCAGTGTGCCCCAGGGCAGCTGTGGCTACAGTAGTAGTTTATCACCACCGTGTTTGGAGTGAATGAATAATGACATGTGAAGCGTCTTTGAGCGTCCAAAAAAGCGCAAAACCGTTTTTTAAAGATTATTATTATTATTATTATTAGTAAAAGCACTAAAAGGTAAAGGGTATGTAGCTAAGTCCATGGAACGAGGTGATAACAAATCTCTAACCTAAAGAAGCGGGTATCAAACATTTAGCTTTAGCATAATAAATAAGCGGGTATAACATATTTAGCTTTAGCTTTAGCATACAGGGAACAAAGAAGTATAAAAGTCTCCCGACAGTTCCACAGTTCTGACCTTTTGTCTGTGTTTCTGTGGTCAGTGGTGGGAGAGAAGGAGAAGACCAGCAACACGGTGAATGTCCGCACGCGAGACAACAAGGTGCACGGCGAGCGCAGCGTGGCGGACTGCGTGGAGCGGCTGCAGCAGCTCAAAGCCACGCGCAGTCGGAACGCCGAGGAGGAATTCTGAACCTCCCAGTCCTCGGTCCAACAAACGTCTGTCCGTCATCGTCCTGGAAAACTGTAAAAGAAAAGTCTCGCTTTAGCTTATCATTGGTGAGGGCCCCGAGTCCAGTCCCGGAGTCCAGTCCCGGAGTCCAGTCCCGGAGTCCAGTCCCGGAGTCCAGTCCCGGAGTCCAGTCCCGGAGTCCAGTCCCGGAGTCCAGTCCCGGAGTCCAGTCCCGGAGTCCAGTCCCGGAGTCCAGTCCCGGAGTCCAGTCCCGGAGTCCAGTCCCGGAGTCCAGTCCCGGAGTCCAGTCCCGGAGTCCAGTCCCGGAGTCCAGTCCCGGAGTCCAGTCCCGGAGTCCAGTCCCGGAGTCCAGTCCCCCCCACAATTAAAGTTTTGACTTTTTTTTGGCAAATCTGCTTTTAAAACCCATTATTCTCAGATTAGGTTCAAACCGATTTCTGCTACTTCCAACAGTCGTGAACGTCGAGCAAAAGGTTAAGGTTGAACTGTGTTTTTCCAAAAGTCATGAACAAAAAGCGTTTGAACAAAGTTGATGATTATGAAGGGCTTCTCAAACCGTAAAAGTCATCTTTGTTTGAAAAAAGATGTTTGTTCTTTTGAGACTGGTGTGGTTTGTGACTCAATGTACTTCTGTTTCATTCAAAGTGGGGTCTGGGCCTCGGTCTGGGCCTCGGTCTGTCCTCGGTCTGGGCCTCCTTGCTTTTATCACTAAAAAAACGTGTCTGTATTGCATTGTCAGAGTAGGAAGAAAGGAAGGAAATGTAGAGGTACAGTATCCGAAGCATCTGGAAGAAACCTACGCCAACACAGGAAGAACATGCAAACTCCCCACAGAGAAGCCTGGAGGTGGAATCGGAGCCAGGACTGTCTCCTTCTCGTCTGGTCTGTAGAGATCTGCTATAAATGATAACAGTGGTAACATGGGAGAAAGCCTGGTCTTTTGTGTTTAGTCCATAAGTGTAATTTCAATTTAAATGTATTTTTGTAAAGCCCTAAATCACATCAGTAGTCATCTCGAAGAACTTTAGAAAACTGTCGATTTGCCAACACAGATCAGAGAATCAAACAGTTCAAACATAGGAAATGCCATGATAACAAACAGACATTCCTCCAAAAGGGGCAGAGACCAATGTCCTTAAGTTTTTATTAGATTTTTTACTTGGACTAAAGGCACAATTAGAAGAGAAGGATGTACGTGTTTACTGCTTTCTGCCCTCGCCTTGGCTCTAAATAATAGTTTACTGCATCTTCCTCATTTAAGCGTAATCTCAATCTCCGCCACCAGAGGGCGCCAGATGTCCACTCAGTCCAGTCTGATGAGGCTTGTGGAAGCGATGCTTTGTTCTTTCTCATTTATTAGTAAAAAAAACAACGTAGATAAATATATTTGACTGGAGTTGGTGTTAGTAGTAAACTTTATTTATATAGCGCCTTTCACAGAGCTAAGAGTCTAAAATATCTATCTTTAGCGTAATAGAGATTTTAAACTTGATTCTCTAACTTTTTACGGTGGGCACGTGTTTTATCTGTTTCAAAAATGAATTGAAGTTAGTTACAGTCTTAATATATTATTATTATTATCTTTATTTATCAGACTCGAAGACCATAAAATACGAAACCCCACATCACAAACACAACATACAAATATACAAGATCTGAGAGTCTAGTTTCACCGATGCATCTCTAAACAGGACCTTCGCCATCTCTGCAGAACTAGTTTACAATCCACGTGCGCAGAAAGTCATTTAAAGTGAGTGAGATTTAAAGCGCCGTGTCCAGTCTGAGCAGTAGGGGGCGCTGCTGCCTGAGGATTCACCCCGGGGCAGCTCAGGGGGAGGCGGAGAGGCTGTTTCAAGTGTGGGAGAGAAAAACATTTTGATAAGAGGTTAATTAGAGAGTCCACGGAATCCTCACGGGAGCAGCTCGTCTTCACCCAGAGAGGGGGGGCCACTGCTCCTCTCTCCCCCACCAGAGAGGGGAGGGGCCACTGCTCCTCTCTCCCCCACCAGAGAGGGGAGGGGCCACTGCTCCTCTCTCCCCCGCCAGAGGGGGGAGGGGCCACTGCTCCTCTCTCCCCCACCAGAGAGGGGAGGGGCCACTGCTCCTCGCTCCCCCACCAGAGGGGGGAGGGGCCACTGCTCCTCTCTCCCCCACCAGAGGGGGAGGGGCCACACTGCTCCTCTCTCCCCCACCAGAGAGGGGCGGGGCCACTGCTCATCTCTCCCCCTTTTTAACCTCACATGGATAGAGTATAATTTAAAGCTCATATACCTAATTTTCACTATGTTATAAAGTCTCTCCATAGTCTCTCTGGTCTCTAGTCTTTCTCTGCGCTCTAGTCTTTCTTTCTGGTCTCTAGTCTCTTTCTGGTCTCTTGTCACTCTAATCTCTTTCTGATCACTCTGGTCTCTCCCTAGTCTCTGGTCTCTTTATAGTCTCTCTGGTCTCCAGTCTCTCTCTGGTCTCTCTTGTCTCTCTCTGGTCTCTCTCTCTGGTCTCTCTCTTGTCTCTGGTCTCTCTCTTGTCTCTTGGATCTCTCTGGTCTCTTGGATCTCTCTGGTCTCTAGTCTCTTTCTGGTCTCTAGTCTCTCTCTAGTCTCTTTCTGATCTCTCTCTAGTCTCTCTCTGATCTCTCTCTAGTCTCTCTCTGGTCACTCTCTGGTCACTCTCTGGTCTCTCTCTGGTCTATATGGTCTCTCTCTGGTCACGCTGGTCGCTATCAAAGTGTCAAACGGTGACTTTTTCAAAACTCTTTTGGTTTGGGGCAAAGTAATTTAGGTAGCCCAGCTTTAAACTAAAAAACCAGGAACTGAACATGGTTGATCCAGTGAGGAAACCCCTCCCAAACTCACGCTGGTCCCATACCAGAAGAAAAGCATATTTGGGAAGGCGCAGCGACCGCGTTCTCCTCTGCATTCTGGCCCATTACTCCTCACATAAATGCTACTGAACCCCAAATTATGGTGAGCCGCCGCAAAGTTAGTTTAGCTTTGGGAAAACCGAACTGCCATCTTTAATATCGCAATGTTGCAAAATTACACGCTTCCCATCGGCGGACGTTTGATGGTGCGGCTCCGGCATCTGGGAAGCCGCCGTGTGACTCCTGCCTCGGACCATGAGGAGCAGAAGGGAACGATCATGTCCTCTCTGAGCTCTCACTCTAGTCTCGCTCTCTGGTCTCTCTCTCTGGTCTTACTCTAGGCTCTCTTTCTGGTGTTTCTGGTGTCTCTGGTCTCTCTTTAGTCTCTATTCTCTCTCTGGTCTCTTTGGTGTATAGTCTCTCTCTGCTCTCTCTCTAGCCTCTTTTTGGTCTCTCTCCCCCCTCTGATCTCTCTCTAGACTTTTTCTGGTCTCTCTCACTCCTGGTCTCTCTAGCCTCTTTCTGGTTTCTCTAGTCTCTCTCTGCTCTCTCTCTGGTCTCGTTCTGGTCTCTCTCTGGTCTCTCTCTCCCCTGGTCTCTCTCTAGTCTCTCTGGTTTCTCGCTAGTCTCTATCGCTCTCTCTCTAGTCTCTAGTCTCTCTCTAGCCTCTCTCTGCTCTCTCTCTCTAGTCTGGTGGAGAAACCCTCTCTCCGTTGGCACGTCCTGACTCTGACAGGATTATTTCACAGGTGTAGAAAGTTCAACAGTGTCAGATTACAGCATCGTAAAAACCAAATGGACTTTAATTAGCTCCTGTCGTCTTAAAACCAGCGCTCGCTCCTCCCACAACAAACTCTAGTCCTCTTCTCACTGGTTTCACTGGGAACAGTCTCACTCCGGCCTGTCCTGCATCTGTGCAATACAGAACCACAAGACCCTCATGCTAGTCTCTCTCTGGTCTCTCTCGGGTCCCTCTCTGGTCTCTCTCTGGTTTTTCTCTAGTCTCTTTCTGGTCTCTCTCTCTCTCTGTAGTCCCTCACTGGTCTCTCTAGCCTCTCTCTGGTCTCTAGTCTCTCTATGGTTTCTCTGGTCTCTCTCATAAAAATAAATATTAAATCTGCAAGTGTCTGAAAGCAATATTTGTGCAAATTTAAAACTACAAATAAAGTAGATAGATACAACAATTTACACTCTCAGAAATTACCAGAGAGAGACCAGAGAGAGACCAGAGAGAGACCAGAGAGGGACCAGAGAGAGACCAGAGAGAGACCAGAGAGAGACCAGAGAGAGACCAGAGAGAGACCAGAGAGAGACCAGAGAGAGACCAGAGAGAGACCAGAGAGAGACCAGAGAGAGACCAGAGAGAGACCAGAGAGAGACCAGAGAGAGACCAGAGAGAGACCAGAGAGAGACCAGAGAGAGACCAGAGAGAGACCAGAGAGAGACCAGAGAGAGACCAGAGAGAGACCAGAGAGAGACCAGAGAGAGACCAGAGAGGGACCAGAGAGAGACCAGAGAGAGACCAGAGAGAGACCAGAGAGAGACCAGAGAGGGACCAGAGAGGGACCAGAGAGGGACCAGAGAGAGACCAGAGAGAGACCAGAGAGAGACCAGAGAGAGACCAGAGAGGGACCAGAGAGGGACCAGAGAGGGACCAGAGAGGGACCAGAGTCACCTCCTGATCTCTGTGGCTGGTCTGCAGTTCTATCAGGTAGCAGTAGAATCTCGAAGAAGACCACCCAGGAGCCGGAGCATCCAGTCTGATGTAGCACACACACACACACACACACACACACACACACACACACACACACACACACACACGCACACACACTGTACAGCCAGCTCTCCAAGCAACCCAGGAAAGCCGGCTCTGGCATTCGAGCAGCCCTGATTCATATTTGGCACTTCCATAAAGGTTCCGAGCTCCTGCAGTTGTTTTGGGCGTTTTTTTGTCCAAGGTTTTTCGCTCTTTTGGGAAAAAAACCTATAAACATCCCACGCCAACGGCAGCGCAAACGCCTTCTCCGGCTTCAATGGTCGGGTTTCTGGACGTCTTTTCTCTCTCTGCAGAAATGTAGAGAGTTTACACACGAGAGAGAATTTCCCCGGAGTTTCTATAGAACTGAACTTTGTCTTTTTGTTGTACAGAAACGCAAAGATATAAAACACAAAGAGCCGTTGGTCAATCAGGCAAAGAGACCTATGTCCATAAATGATGATAAAGGCCATAAAATGTTTGTTTAAAAAGTGTCATTTTGTTCAGAGTAACAAGACTAACTCCAAGAGCGACGTAGGAAGCTATTTTCCATATGGTTCTAACTTGTAACCGGTAATACTGGTAATACTGGTATTTATTTAATATAACAGGTACAGGCTGTTAGCTCTGCAGATATGTGTCAAATATATATAATCACTGGAATGAGAAGAGAGAGACCAGAGAGAGACAGAGAGAGACCAAGAGAGACCAAGAGAGAGACCAGAGAGAGACCAGAGAGAGACCAGAGAGAGGGACCAGAGAGAGACCAAGAGAGACCAGAGAGAGACCAGAGAGAGACCAAGAGAGAGGGACCAGAGAGAGACCAGAGAGAGACCAGAGACTGACTAGAGGGAGACCAGAGAGAGACTAGGGAGTGAGCCATGAGCGAAAGAGACCATAGAGAGAGAGACCAGGGAGAGAGTTATGAGAGAGAGAGACCAGAGACTGACTAGAGAGTGAGCCATGAGAGAGACCGGAGAGGGACCAGAGAGAGACCAGAGAGAGACCAGAGAGAGACCGGAAGAGAGACCAGAGAGAGACCAGAGAGAGACCAGAGAGAGACCAGAGAGAGACCAGAGAGAGACCAGAGAGAGGGACCAGAGAGAGAGAGAGACCAGAGAGAGACCAGAGAGAGACCAGAGAGAGACCAGAGAGAGAGACCAGAGAGAGACCAGAGACTGACTAGAGGGAGACCAGAGAGAGACTAGGGAGTGAGCCATGAGAGAAAGAGACCATAGAGAGAGAGACCAGGGAGAGAGTTATGAGAGAGAGAGACCAGAGACTGACTAGAGAGTGAGCCATGAGAGAGACCGGAGAGGGACCAGAGAGACCAGAGAGAGACCAAAGAGAGACCAGAGAGAGACCAAAGAGAGACCAGAGAGAGTCCAGAGAAAGACCAGAGACTCCCTCACACTGGCTTCTCTCTCCCTAAAACTGGGTTCTCTCTCCCCCCTGGCGTTGGAGCAGAGGTGTGAAGGCGTGTGGGGGCCTCTCTGTGGGGGCCTCTCTCTTTGTGGGGCCACAGATGTAACACAAGCAGAGCTGAAGGGGCCGTCGCACTCTCCAGCACACAATGAGCAGAGTATTGCTCAATAACAAGGTCCGGGTCAAAACAACAGCGAGACTCAGGAGGAGGCCCCTGAGCCCAGGACGGGGAACGCAACGGGCCACAACTCACACACAACTCACACACAACTCACACACAACTCACACACAACTCACAAACAACTCACACACAACTCACAAACAACTCACACACACTTCCTGTTTTGGGAGAGTGAAGCTTTAACATGAGTCTTAAAGCTGCAGTACTGAAGAAAATGACAAAAGATAATAACAATAACAATAATCTATCTGTCTGTCTATGGGCGACATGGTGGCTGAGTGGTTTGCACTGTCGCTTCTCAGCATGTAGGTCCTGGGTTTGAATCCCGGTCAGAACAGGGCGTTTTTGACTGGAGTTTGCATGTTCTCCCCATGTCTTCTCCGGTTTTCTCCGGCTGCTCCGGTTTCCCCTACCACTAATATCATGCACAATAGGTATGAATGTAAGTGCATGGGTGGTGCTTGGTCGGAGGTTTTGATGGACCAGTGTGTTCTGCGACTCGCTGCCGTCATCACCGTGTGGAGAGAAGAGAAAACTAATCTAACTCTGAACAATTGTTAAGTGCTTTGGGTGACTTTGGTCTGTAAAAATGCGCTAAATAAACATTACTTACTTACTGTCTGTCTATCTATCTAGGTATGTACGTACATATACATACAGTACATACCTACCTTCCTATAAACAGGGCTACAGAGGACTGGGCAGATCTGGGGTCAGTGCTGGCTCTGAATGGGCCCCTGTGCTCGGGGTGCTTGTGGTCCCTGATGTGTTAGCAGAGAAAACATGTGGAGGCCGAGCGCCGCTGGCCACTGACCGCCGCTGCAGCCGAGAGCGCGGCCTGTAGATCATCCAGACGCATTTATGAAGTGTCGAGGCCCGAGCGTGCTCCGTGTGGAGGACGCCACTTTTCACTCACGGACTTTCAACGTGATTTATGGAACTTTCAGAAAACTTTGAGAAGAGACAAGCAGCTTTAGGACTGTCTTACAGTTTTTCTCAGAGGCTTTGGTGCATTTCTCACATCATTCTTCACATTTGCACAACAGTTCCTGCATTTCTCAGAACAAATAGTGCAAACTTAGCCTGGTCGTACCACACCATACTGCAAATGGCAAATAAATGAATCTGAATCTGAATCTGACCATAGTACATATTTCATTTAATACTAAGGTCTGGAGGTGCTCCATTGAATCCGTGAACAGGTGGGAGGGGCTAACTCCTTTTGCAGATTGAAACGATTGGATCTGAGTTTACCGTGACGTATGTAATGAGCCCGAGTGAGTTGTTAGCATTTAGCCTAGCTTTAGCCATCTAACGGAGCCCGTGGGGAGTAGCGCCACAATCTCTGCAGCGATTACATTTGCTAAACATGAAAGAGGGACACTGAGAGGCTGAAAGGCGGGCTCTGTGGTGGGTCTGGGTCTGGGTTCAGTGGAGGAGGTGGTAGAGCAAAGAACGCTCTCCAAGATCAGGGTGATCTTGTCCAACCAGAGCCACCCGCTAAATTCATTTTTTTCCCGCCAGAGAAGCACCATGAGCTCCAGACTCCCTCTCAGGTGCTCCAAGGACAGACTAAAAAACTCTTTTGTCCCCAACGCCATCAGGCTCTATAACAAAGCCACTTCAGGGAGGAGCAGGGGGGGGTCTTGAGAATTGTTTTGCAGTGCCTTAACTTCTCTTTTAATGTTTTGAATGTATTTATTGTCTGGTTTTTAACTTTTGTATCTTTTAATTCTAACCTATGTATGTATCTTGTATGCACAACTTCCTTCGGGATCAATAAAGTATCTTTCTATCTATCTATCTATCTATCTATCTATAGTGAAAGACGTTTCAGCTTCATAAGTATGTTTCATTCTGACAGGACAGAAGCAAATTATAATGTTACAAAACAGCAGAGAATTGTATGAAAGTCACTGATACATGATTTGTAAAGTGTTCGAAGGAGAAACTGCTGCGAAAAACTGTATGAAGCTGAATAATCTTTCCCTTTCAAACTAATAATCATAACTTCCTTGCTTTAGTTTCTGTAAAAACTGCTGCAACGACTGAAAGATTTCACCTTTGATTTAAACTTTACTCTTTTTAATGCACCTTGGCTATTTATGATTTTAATCCCATGTGTACGTTTTATGATTTTAATATTTCTTGTGTATTTTTTTAACATTAAAGTCGATTTAAAATTGATGCCTGACGTTTGTGAGGTGCTTTGTGTAGTAAGTGGCGCTCTACAAATAAAAGTCTATCGATTGATGGATCGATTCTTATAGATCCGTTTCCATGGTTACGAGAATCCGTTATTGCAGGATCTGTCAGAGCTCGGCTTCTCTCTCGGTTTGTTCAGTCGGAGCAGGTTGATGAAAGCTCCTCTGTTCTGTCTGCAGCCGATAATACACACACACTGACAGACGAACACCTGCACATGTTTACCCACCGCCAAAACACACCTGTGGACCCAGGACTGAGGCTGTAGACCCAGGACTGAGGCTGTAGACCCAGGACTGAGGCTGTAGACCCAGGACTGAGGCTGTATACCCAGGACTGAGGCTGTGGACCCAGGACTGAGGCTGTAGACCCAGGACTGAGGCTGTAGACCCAGGACTGAGGCTGTAGACCCAGGACTGATGCTGTAGATCCAGGACTGATGCTGTGGACCCAGGACTGAGGCTGTGGACCCAGGACTGTGACTGTAGACCCAGGACTGAGGCTGTAGACCCAGGCCTGAGGCTGTAGACCCAGGACTGAGGCTGTAGATCCAGGACTGAGGCTGTAGACCCAGGACTGAGGCTGTAGAACCAGGACTGAGGCTGTAGACCCAGGACTGAGGCTGTAGACCCAGGACTGAGGCTGTAGAACCAGGACTGAGGCTGCAGATCCAGGACTGAGGCTGTAGACCCAGGACTGAGGCTGTAGATCCAGGACTGAGGCTGTAGACCCAGGACTGAGGCTGTGGACCCAGGACTGAGGCTGTAGACCCAGGACTGAGGCTGTAGACCCAGGACTGAGGCTGTGGACCCAGGACTGAGGCTGTAGACCCAGGACTGAGGCTGTGGACCCAGGACTGAGGCTGTAGACCCAGGACTGAGGCTGTAGACCCAGGACTGAGGCTGTGGACCCAGGACTGAGGCTGTAGACCCAGGACTGAGGCTGTGGACCCAGGACTGAGGCTGTAGAACCAGGACTGAGGCTGTAGACCCAGGACTGAGGCTGTAGACCCAGGACTGAGGCTGTAGAACCAGGACTGAGGCTGCAGATCCAGGACTGAGGCTGTAGACCCAGGACTGAGGCTGTAGATCCAGGACTGAGGCTGTAGACCCAGGACTGAGGCTGTGGACCCAGGACTGAGGCTGTAGACCCAGGACTGAGGCTGTAGACCCAGGACTGAGGCTGTAGACCCAGGACTGAGGCTGTAGACCCAGGACTGAGGCTGTAGACCCAGGACTGAGGCTGTAGACCCAGGACTGAGGCTGTAGATCCAGGACTGAGGCTGTAGGCCCAGGACTGAGGCTGTAAGTAAGTAAGTAAGTAATCTTTATTTATATACTGTCTTTCACAGACCAGAGTCACAAAGCGGTTTACAATTGTTATTATTTTTGGGCATTTGTCTCTCACTCCACACAGAGATGGGAGTGGGGTCGCCAGTACAGGAGGCACATGCCAGAACTATTGTGCATGTTTTTAGTGGTAGGGGAAATCGGAGTACCCGGAGGAAACCTATGCAGACACGGGGAGAACATGCAAACTCCACTCAGAAAGGCCCTGGTCCAGCCAGGATTCGAACCCAGGACCTTCTTGCTGAGAGGCGAGAGTGCTATCCACACAGGACTGAGGCTGTAGACCCAGGACTGAGGCTGTAGACCCAGGACTGAGGCTGTAGATCCAGGACTGAGGCTGTAGATCCAGGACTGAGGCTGTAGATCCAGGACTGAGGCTGTAGATCCAGGACTGAGGCTGTAGACCCAGGACTCTCTCTGGTCTCTCTCTCTCTCTCTAGTCTCTCCCTCTATCTGGTCTCTCTCTGCTTTCTTTGGTCTCTCTCTGGTCTCTTTTTGGTCTCTCCCTCTCTCTGGTCTCTCTCTGGTCTCTTTGGTCTCTCTCTCTCTCTCTAGTCTCTCCCTCTCTCTAGTCTCTCTCTGCTCTCTTTGGTCTCTCTCTGGTCTCTCTCTCTCTAGTCTCTTTGGTCTCTCTCTGGTCTCTCTCTCTCTTGTGCCTCGCTTTGCTGGCTGCAGACATTATATAAAAATGAACACACACACAGCCGTGTCTGTGTGTGTGTCTTTGTGCGAGCAGTGACTATGAAACAACTCGACAGCAGAATAAAAAACATGTATGAATCTGTTGCTGCTAAAATAGTTTGCTTATTGTTTATATTCTTTTCTTTTGCGGGGTGCAGACCCACAGCTGCAGATCCACAGCTGCAGGCCCACAGCTGCAGGCCCACAGCTGCAGATCCAGGGCTGCAGCGTCAGAGCCCAGACCTAAACAAACATTCTCTGACAGGAGGAGGCGCTGAGCAAACAGAGATTAGAGCAGATGAAAAGAGGAAGTGACTCTGCGGCTCCTGAATCAAGTGCACACAACCTGTTTCTAATGACTTTATTAAAGCTGAGGGACCTGACTTTCCAACCACAACAAACGCATTTTGTGTATCGTGTGTGTCTATACAGTCTATGGTCAATACTCTCTCTCCCTCTCCCACTTCCTCTCTCCCTCTCTTCTTTCCTCTCCCTCCCTCTCTCTCTCTCTCTCTCCCTCTCCCCCTCTCTCCCACTCTCTCGCTCTCTTTTTCTCTCTCCCTCCCTCCCTCTCTCTCCCTCCCTCTCCCTCTCTCTCTCTCCCTCTCTCTCTCTTCCTCTCCCCCTCTCTCTTTTTCCCTCCCTCTCTCGCCCCCTCTCTCTCTCCCTCTCCCACTTCCTATCTCCTCTCCCTCTCTCTCCCTCTCTCCCTCCCTCTATCCTTCTCCTTCTCTCCCTTCCTCTCCCTCCCTCTCACTCTCTCCCTCCTTCTCTCCCTCTCTCCCTCCCTCTCCCTATCCCCCTCTCTCCCTCAACCAGCCCCCCTCCCTCTCTCCCTCTCTCCCTGGGTTGCTACCCTCCAGCCCTGGCATGCCGTAGCGGAGGTGAGGAGCCGTGGAGGAGGTGGCCCCTGCCTGTGCCTCTGCTCCTGGGACACAGAGCTGACAGCCCGACCGTCTTGCCCAAAGACACGCCGTCACGGAGGGATAATACCGGCCCGTGATTGGCTCGCGGCCCCGGCCACAATGAGAGCCCCCTGCGCGGTGAGAAAGGGCTCCGGGACAAAGAGGCGGCCAACAAAAGAGCCATGTTAAATCAGGCATTTGATCCAAGCCTCGGTCACAGGCCAAACTCATCAAATCTGTACAAACATAATCCACGAACACGAGAAAACACACTCTCACAGACGAGATGAGGAGAGAACACACTCTCACAGACGAGATGAGGAGAGAACACACTCTCACAGACGAGATGAGGAGAGAACACACTCTCACAGACGAGACGAGGAGAGAACACACTCTCACAGACGAGACAAGGAGAGAACACACTCTCACGGGCGAGACGAGGAGAGAACACACTCTCACGGACGAGACGAGGAGAGGACACACTCTCACAGACGAGACGAGGAGAGAACACACTCTCACAGACGAGACGAGGAGAGAACACACTCTCACAGACGAGACGAGGAGAGAACACACTCTCACGGACGAGACGAGGAGAGAACACACTCTCACAGACGAGACGAGGAGAGAACACACTCTCACAGATGAGACGAGGAGAGAACACACTCTCACGGGCGAGACAAGGAGAGAACACACTCTCACGGGCGAGATGAGGAGAGAACACACTCTCACAGACGAGACAAGGAGAGAACACACTCTCACGGGCGAGATGAGGAGAGAACACACTCTCACGGGCGAGATGAGGAGAGAACACACTCTCACGGGCGAGATGAGGAGAGAACACACTCTCACGGACGAGACGAGGAGAGAACACACTCTCACGGGCGAGATGAGGAGAGAACACACTCTCACGGATGAGACGAGGAGAGAACACACTCTCACGGACGAGACGAGGAGTGAACACACTCTCACAGACGAGACGAGGAGAGAACACACTCTCACAGACGAGACGAGGAGAACACACTCTCACAGACGAGACGAGGAGAGAACACACTCTCACAGACGAGATTAGGAGAGAACACACTCTCACAGACGAGACGAGGAGAGAACACACTCTCACGGACGAGACGAGGAGAGAACACACTCTCACGGACGAGACGAGGAGAGAACACACTCTCACAGACGAGATGAGGAGAGAACACACTCTCACAGACGAGATGAGGAGAGAACACACTCTCACAGACGAGACGAGGAGAGAACACACTCTCACAGACGAGACGAGGAGAGAACACACTCTCACAGACGAGACGAGGAGAGAACACACTCTCACAGACGAGACGAGGAGAGAACACACTCTCACAGACGAGATGAGGAGAGAACACACTCTCACAGACGAGACGAGGAGAGAACACACTCTCACAGACGAGACGAGGAGAGAACACACTCTCACAGACGAGACGAGGAGAGAACACACTCTCACAGACGAGATGAGGAGAGAACACACTCTCACGGACGAGATGAGGAGAGAACACACTCTCACAGACGAGATGAGGAGAGAACACACTCTCACAGACGAGACGAGGAGAGAACACACTCTCACAGACGAGATGAGGAGAGAACACACTCTCACAGACGAGACGAGGAGAGAACACACTCTCACGGACGAGATGAGGAGAGAACACACTCTCACAGACGAGATGAGGAGAGGACACACTCTCACGGACGAGATGAGGAGAGAACACACTCTCACAGACGAGACGAGGAGAGAACACACTCTCACAGACGAGACGAGGAGAGGACACACTCTCACAGACGAGACGAGGAGAGGACACACTCTCACGGACGAGACGAGGAGAGAACACACTCTCACAGACGAGACGAGGAGAGAACACACTCTCACAGACTAGATTAGGAGAGAACACACTCTCACAGACGAGATGAGGAGAGACTGTGATGAGGATTCAGATCATCACACGTCTGTTCTGTGCTGGGTTTGAAGTTGTGATGTCACACAAAGTTTATATTAATGAGTAACAGGGACCACTCCAAAAGGTTTATGGTGTTGTCTGCAGCATCACAGAGAGGACAGGAAGAAGAGGGGGAGAGAGAGAGGAGGGGGGAGAGGGAGAGAGAGAGATAGAGGAGAGAGGGGGGAGAGAGAGAGAGAGGGAGAGACTGTGAGTGAGAGAGAGGGAAAGAGAGTGAGGAAGAGAGAGTGAGGGAGGGAGTGAGGGAGGGAGAGAGAGGGAGAGAAAAGGAGAGAGCATGAGGGAGAGAGAGAGGGGTGAGAGAGGGAGGGAGAGAGCGGAGAGAGAGAGAGAGAGAGACATAGAGGGAGTCCGGAAGTCCAGGTCCTAGTCCTAGACCGAGCTGGACAATGACAGTGCCCCCTGCAGGACACTCTGTCTGAGCAGCTTCAGTGACAGACTGATCCACCCTCACCAGGTTCTTCAGGAAACATTCAGCATCGGGTCAATAAAATATAAGTTAAGAGACTTTAGTTTGCACAGCTTTAAAAACCTTTTAAAAAAGCAGAAAAGTGAAACAAGAACAAAAATATTGTCAAACTAAAAAACAGTTTAAAAAGAAATATGCAAATTAGCAATTGTTTCTTCCTTCTGTTGCTATTTGCTCACTCTCTCTCTCCCTCTCTCTCTCCATCCCTCGCTCTCTCTCTCTCCCTCACCCTCTGCCTCTCTCTCTCACTCTCTCTCTCTCTCACTCTCTCTCTCCATCCCTCGCTCTCTCTCTCTCCCTCACCCTCTGCCTCTCTCTCTCACTCTCTCTCTCCATCCCTCGCTCTCTCTCTCTCCCTCACCCTCTGCCTCTCTCTCTCACTCTCTCTCTCCCTCTCTCTCTCTCTCTCTCCCTCACCCTCTGCCTCTCTCTCTCACTCTCTCTCCCTCTCTCTCTCACTCTCTCTCCCCCTCTCTCTCTCTCTCTCTCTCTGCCTCTCTCCCACTCTCTCTCCATCCCTCTCTCTCTCTCTCTCTCTGCCTCTCTCCCACTCTCCCACTCTCTCTCTCCCTCTCTGTCTCTGCCTCTCTCCCACTCTCTCTCTCTCCCTCTCTCTCTCTCTCTCTCTCCCTGCCTCTCTCACTCTCTCTCTCCTCTCTCTCTCTCTGCCTCTCTCCCACTCTCTCACTCTCTCTCTCCCTCTCTGTCTCTGCCTCTCTCCCTCCCACTCTCTCTCTCCATCCCTCTCTCTTTCTCTCTCTCTCTCGCTCTCTCCCTCTCTCTCTCCCCCTCTATCTCTCTCGCTCCCGCCCTCTCTCCCCCTCTCGTCCTATCTCCCCCCTTCCTCCCCCCCCCCCCCCCCCCCCCCCTATTTCCCCTTTCCCCCTCTCTCTCTCTAATTACAGGGAGGCCAGAGCTACAGGCAGAGTCACTGGAATCCTCAGGGTCTGATTCTTCGCTGAAAGGACGCCTTGTAATCCTTAAATAAATTTTAATTGCAGTAAGCTGTGGAACACAAGAGACCCCGCCCCCTCAGATGGAGCGGACCCCCGAGAGCCTCTGGGCACTTTGATTAGCTCACACAATAAGACTGGGGAGGTATTAGGAGGTCCCCATCAGGATTTAGGCTGAATTCTACACACGGACCTCAGTACAGCGTTTAGCATTAAAGGGGACCTACCATGAAGGATCTTCCCAGGGATATTTTAGTTTTTTCAAGCTTTGAGCCATTGTTCCCGATCAAAAACAAACCTGAAGTTGTTTTAGCTTCATCCGCAGGGAGCACAGGGACTTCACTCATGTAAGGCTCAGAAGGTTCTTTAACCTCCTGAGACCCGAGCATTTGTCTGGTGTGCATTTTATATATTTTTTTGCTATTTAGGATAAGTAGGACCCAATAAGTATAATACCTAAATTGTGATTTTGTACAGGAAGTAGTTTTTGAGAAAAAACATGTCCTCGTATGAGGACAGTGGGTCTCTCATAACCTAAAGAGAAAATGTATGATCTTTTAGGCCGGAAGGTCCTGATTAGTTGAAATTCAAAATTTCAGCTTGATCCAATTAGTACTTCTCTCAAAAATCAATGTCCTCACATGAGGACAGTGGGTCGACCTTACTATACAATACAAATAGACTCCATTGGTCTAAAATAGTATATAACAGTTTATTTGAAAAATGTAAACATCAAAGTTAGACATAAAATCCAAACAGCTCTATCTTCAAAGCCTAAAAATGTCATGGTGTGGACATTTTGACCGGGTTGAGTTTGAATCCTGCCTGTCCTGTTGATTGTTGCCCCGCCCTAATGTGATTCACCTGTGTGTCCCTGTGTGTGTATATATACCTTGTGCCCTTCCTCACTTGTTGTCCGTCCATTGTCTCCACAATGTTTGTCCTGTCTTCAGTTCTGTTTTTACATTACCTTGGATTTATTTTATTAAATTACTTTGATTTTCAGTCCTGCAATTTGGGTTCCCTTTTTCTTCATTCATCCACATGACAAAAAATTGGCTATACATAAATAAAACCGCAAAATACTGTGTAAACTGTCTATTTCAAGCCTTCAATATGGCTGAATTGAATTGATAAATACAATACTAGAACAAATAATGGCAAATATTATTAACAGTCCTAAAACAGTAAAATTCTGCTGAACAGCTTATGAACCGGGGCTTTTTTCAAACTAGCTCCCTCTCTTTTTCTAGAAAGCAATCTGTCTGCCTGTTTGGAAGAGCCCTATTGGCAAGTGCGAAATGCTGCAAAGCAGTTGCATTCACTTTGCAAGCACAGGTACACATTGCATGTCATGCATCGGACACAGGCTTTTCCAATGCAGTCTTGTGCTCTGCAATGCATGGGGTTTTTCAAGGCTACCATCTCCGGGTTAGGGTTAGGATTACAATATCCCCAGTCGAGGTCAGCAGCTCTCCACCCGCACCATACACGGTGTTGGCAAAGCACTGCTTCCCCCTCCTGAGGCGCCGGAGGGTTTGCCATAACCTTTTTGAGGGCGACCGATAGTCATGCTCCATGGACTCTCCGAACTCCTCCCAGTCCCGGGTTTTTGCCTCTGCAACAGCCCGGGCCGCGGCACGCTTGGCCTGCCGGTACTGGACAGCTGCCTCAGGAGTCCCACGAACCATCATTGCTCGATAGGACTCCTTCAGCCTGACGGCATCCCTTACTGCCGGTGTCCACCACCGGGTTCGGGGGTTGCCGCCGGGACCAGCACCAGAGACCTTGCGACCACAGCTACGAGCCGCTTTATTGGTGATAGAGGAAGAGAACATGGTCCACTCGGACTCAATGTCCCCCTCCTCTGGGTCCTGGGAGAAGCTCTCCCGGAGGTGTGAGTTGAAAGTCCGTCTGACAGGGGGCTCAGCGAGACGTTCCCAGCAGACCCTCACTATACGCTTGGGTCTGCCAGGTCTGACCGGCTTCTTCCCCTGCCAGCGGATCCAACTCACGACCAGGTGATGATCGGTTGACAGCTCCTCCCCTCTCTTTACCCGAGTGTCCGAGACACGCGGTCGAAGGTCAGATGATACGACAACAAAGTCGACCATCAACCTCCGGCCTAGGGTGTCCTGGTGGACACCCTTGTGCTCGAACATGGTGTTCGTGATGGACAGACCGTGACTGGCACAGAAGTCCAACAACTGAACACCGCTCGGGTTCAGATCAGGGGGGCCGTTCTTCCCGATCACCCCTCTTCAAGTGTCCCTGGCATTTCCCACATGGGCGTTGAAGTCCCCCAGGAGAATAACGGAGTCCCCGGGCGGTGCACTGTCCAGTACCCCTCCCAAGGACTCCAAGAAGGCAGGAACTCGGCACTGCCGTTAGGCCCGTAGGCCGTCACAACAATGAGAGACTTGTCCCACCCGGAGGCGGAGGGACGCGACCCTCTCATTCACCGGGGAGAACTCCAACACGTGGCGGCTGAGATGGGGGGCAATGAGTATGGCCACCCCAGCTCGCCGCCTCTCCCCGTGGGAAACACCAGAAGATGACTGACAGGTATGAGATGATGATACAATCATCCCCATCTGAGAAGTCCTCTATCTCAGAGTTGTCTGCAATTGCCAACAGCAATTGTTCTGCTCTTGACAATGAAAGTGTGCCTGTAATGATAATGTTAAAAACCAACATCAAAATCTACAGTATATCAGTGACACTTCATAGCTTGGCTATCATGTGCTAGCTATAGCCTAGCTATATTGTTTATGATTTAGAATTTAGCAACACTAAACAATACTTAGCATATACCACTTAGTACTTAAATATACTATTTACAACTGTAAACCACATAACTAAGCAAATGTGTGATTCAAAATAACTATTTACAACTGTAACTTCATCTAAATCTTCCACACTGTTAGCTAAACAGATAGCGGTACATAGTCCTAGCGTCCTCAAACGAGTGCTTCACTTTTACTGACATCCTAGCCTGCTACTACAATCAAAATTTGTCAAATTTCAAACTCCATATGAAGCTAGAGAGACATTATTGTGCATAAAAAAATGTATTTCATTCATAAAATGTTGATAGAATTTTTACCTGGGGCATTTTTCTTCTGTAAACTCTTGTAGAAGTCTTTTGCTGATATTGCCACCAATTTTTTCCTACTGCCTTAAGTGTAATTCTATCATATCACCACAAGATGGCGCGGGCAGTGTCCCTAAATGTGGCCATCAGGTCAAGGATGTAAAAAATTGAGTATCATTGTGCCAAGAGGCAAAAATGTAATGTCCTCGTATGAGGTCGCAGGGTCTCAGGAGGTTAAGGCGAGTTTATCTGTGTAGCACGGTTCTTAGTATAGAATATGTTAAAAAGAGTCATTATACTGTTTTTAACCTGGATTTGAAAATTGTCAAATAAGAAGTCTGTCTCACATTTTCAGGAAGATTGTTCCAGATTTTAGATAACACTACTCTCTCTGGTCTCCCTCTGGTGTCTCTCTCTGGTCCCTCTCTCTGGTCTCTCCCTCTGGTCTCTCTTTGTTCTCTCTGGTCTCTCTTTGTTCTCTCTGGTCTCTCTCTGGTCTCTCTCTGGTCTCCCTCTGGTCTCTCTCTGGTCTCCCTCTGTTCTCTCTCTGGTCTCCCTCTGGTCTCCCTGTGGTCTCCCTGTGGTCTCCCTCTGGTCTCTCTGTGGTCTCCCTCTGGTCTCCCTCTGGTCTCTCTCTGGTCTCTCTTTGTTCTCTCTGGTCTCCCTCTGGTCTCCCTCTGGTCTCCCTCTAGTCTCTCTCTGCTCTCTCTCCGCTCTCTCTCTGCTCTCCCTCTCTGCTCTCCCTCTGGTCTCTCTCTAGTCTCTCTCTGGTCTCTCTCTGGTCTCCCTCTGGTCTCTCTCTGCTCTCTCTCTGCTCTCCCTCTCTGCTCTCCCTCTGGTCTCTCTCTGCTCTCTCTCCGCTCTCTCTCTGCTCTCCCTCTCTGCTCTCCCTCTGGTCTCTCTCTAGTCTCTCTCTGGTCTCTCTCTGGTCTCCCTCTGGTCTCTCTCTGCTCTCTCTCCGCTCTCTCTCTGCTCTCCCTCTCTGCTCTCCCTCTGGTCTCTCTCTAGTCTCCCTCTGGTCTCCCTCTGGTCTCCCTCTGGTCTCTCTCTGCTCTCTCTCCGCTCTCTCTCTGCTCTCCCTCTCTGCTCTCCCTCTGGTCTCTCTCTAGTCTCTCTCTGGTCTCCCTCTGGTCTCCCTCTGGTCTCCCTCTGGTCTCCCTCTGGTCTCCCTCTGGTCTCTGGTGAGAGACAGTGGAATGTGTGTCTGTGGAGCCTCTCTCTGCACTTGTCGAGTCATGTCCAAGTATTTATAGCTTTGATTTTCTGTCTTCCTCTGTTTTATCACCAGTGTGTCTCCTCTTCATCATCAGTGTGTCTCCTCTTCATCACCAGTGTGTCTCCTCTTCATCACCAGTGTGTCTCCTCTTCATCACCAGTGTGTCTCCTCTTCATCATCAGTGTGTCTCCTCTTCATCACCAGTGTGTCTCCTCTTCATCATCAGTGTGTCTCCTCTTCATCACCAGTGTGTCTCCTCTTCATCACCAGTGTGTCTCCTCTTCATCACCAGTGTGTCTCCTCTTCATCACCAGTGTATCTCCTCTTCATCATCAGTGTGTCTCCTCTTCATCATCAGTGTGTCTCCTCTTCATCACCAGTGTGTCTCCTCTTCATCACCAGTGTGTGTCTCCTCTTCATCACCAGTGTGTCTCCTCTTCATCACCAGTGTGTCTCCTCTTCATCACCAGTGTGTCTCCTCTTCATCATCAGTGTGTGTCTCCTCTTCATCACTCATCAGTGTGTGTCTCCTCTTCATCATCAGTGTGTCTCCTCTTCATCACCAGTGTGTCTCCTCTTCATCATCAGTGTGTGTCTCCTCTTCATCACTCACCAGTGTGTGTCTCCTCTTCATCACCAGTGTGTGTCTCCTCTTCATCACCAGTGTGTGTCTCCTCTTCATCATCAGTGTGTCTCCTCTTCATCATCAGTGTGTCTCCTCTTCATCATCAGTGTGTGTCTCCTCTTCATCACTCACCAGTGTGTGTCTCCTCTTCATCATCAGTGTGTCTCCTCTTCATCACCAGTGTGTCTCCTCTTCATCATCAGTGTGTCTCCTCTTCATCACCAGTGTGTCTCCTCTTAATCATCAGTGTGTCTCCTCTTCATCACCAGTGTGTCTCCTCTTCATCACCAGTGTGTGTCTCCTCTTCATCACCAGTGTGTCTCCTCTTCATCACCAGTGTGTCTCCTCTTCATCACCAGTGTGTCTCCTCTTCATCATCAGTGTGTGTCTCCTCTTCATCACTCATCAGTGTGTGTCTCCTCTTCATCATCAGTGTGTCTCCTCTTCATCACCAGTGTGTCTCCTCTTCATCATCAGTGTGTGTCTCCTCTTCATCACTCACCAGTGTGTGTCTCCTCTTCATCACCAGTGTGTGTCTCCTCTTCATCACCAGTGTGTGTCTCCTCTTCATCATCAGTGTGTCTCCTCTTCATCATCAGTGTGTCTCCTCTTCATCATCAGTGTGTGTCTCCTCTTCATCACTCACCAGTGTGTGTCTCCTCTTCATCATCAGTGTGTCTCCTCTTCATCACCAGTGTGTCTCCTCTTCATCATCAGTGTGTCTCCTCTTCATCACCAGTGTGTCTCCTCTTAATCATCAGTGTGTGTCACTCTTCATCACCAGTGTCTCCAGCACCATCTCCTCTTCATCACCAAAACCACTGCTGTAGTTTCATAGTTATTTACCATAAAATTCCCAGAAACACGACCAGAATGGGTCGTGTTTTGTGGTTTTGTGGTGAGTTAGCTGAATTTCCAAGGCAAGTTCAATTCATTTTATTCTAATTTTTTATTGCCCTAAGTCACAACAGCAGTTTTCTCAGAGGACTTCGCCAACAACAGATCAGAGAATATAACGATCACAACACAGAGCTGTTGGTCCATAAGGCCAGCTCATGTCTCAGACTCTGGGATTATAAATACAAGGGCTCCACCTCCAACCACTGCACCTCCTCTGCACCTCCAACCACTGCACCTCCTCTGCACCTCCAACCACTGCACCTCCTCTGCACCTCCAACCACTGCACCTCCTCTGCACCTCCAACCACTGCACCTCCTCCTACTCCACCTCACTGCACCTCCTCCTACGCCACCTCCAGCCACGACTCCGTAAAGCTGATCAAGTTCACGGACGACACCACCCTCATTGGACTCATCTCCAACAACAGTGAGTCTGCCTACAGGAGGGAGGTGGACCGGCTGGTGTCCTAATGTCTCCTACAGGAGGAGATGATTGTGGACTTCAGGAAGAGCACTGTCCCCCCGCCCCCACCCTCCGTGATGGACTCCCCCATCACCTCTGTGGAGTCCTATTGTTTCCTGGGCACCACCATCACCAGGACCTCAAGTGGGAGCTGACCATCAGCTCCCTCATCATGAGCTTCTCTCTCTCTCAGGACAGATCCATCTCTCTCTCTTCTCTCTTTGCTCCCTCTGGCCTCCCTCTGGTCTCTCTCTCTCTTCACTCTTTGCTCCCTCTGGCCTCCCTCTGGTCTCTCTCTCTCTTCTCTCTCTGCTCCCTCTGGCCTCCCTCTGGTCTCTCTCTCTCTTCTCTCTCTGCTCCCTCTGGCCTCCCTCTGGTCTCTCTCTCTCTTCTCTCTCTGCTCCCTCTGGCCTCCCTCTGGTCTCTCTCTCTCTTCTCTCTCTGCTCCCTCTGGCCTCCCTCTGGTCTCTCTCTCTCTTCTCTCTCTGCTCCCTCTGGCCTCCCTCTGGTCTCTCTCTCTCTTCACTCTATGCTCCCTCTGGCCTCCCTCTGGTCTCTCTCTCTCTTCTCTCTCTGCTCCCTCTGGCCTCCCTCTGGTCTTTCTCTCTCTTCTCTCTCTCAGGACAGATCCATCTCTCTCTCTTATCTCTCTGCTCCCTCTGGCCTCCCTCTGGTCTCTCTCTCTCTTCACTCTCTCAGGACAGATCCATCTCTCTCTCTTATCTCTCTGCTCCCTCTGGCCTCCCTCTGGTCTCTCTCTCTCTTCACTCTCTCAGGACAGATCCATCTCTCTCTCTTCTCTCTTTGCTCCCTCTGGCCTCCCTCTGGTCTCTCTCTCTCTTCACTCTCTCAGGACAGATCCATCTCTCTCTCTGTCCGCCCCAGACGCCTGCTGCTGTGAATTGTGGGATGGACCCGAGGACAGATTAGTGCCTTTGCCGACACCTGACCACAGCTACTTCAGCCCCATCTGTCACAGCGCACAAACACACGCCAAGAGCGGAACAGCGTCCTGCCACGACAAGCACGAGTCCTGGAACTGGGATCGCAGAAGGTTTGGACATGCTACAGATGCTAATGTAAAGTATGTATAGTTTATATCGGGTGCATTTGTTGTGGCAGCAATATCCAAAAAATAATAATAATATAAATAAATATGTTTTTATTATTATTTACCAAGTTTATAAGGAAAGAGCATTGACTGTATATACTGTAGATGGACAATGCTAACCGCTAGCTCAACGAAGCCCAGTATAGCACTCATGGACAAAGTTGGACTGATTCATCTCTCTCTGCTCTCTCTCTGGTCTCTCTCTGGTCTCTCTCTGGTCTCTCTCTGGTCTCTCTCTGGTCTCTCTCTGGTCTGTGGTCTCTCTCTGGTCTCTCTCTGGTCTCTCTCTGGTCTCTCTCTGGTCTGTGGTCTCTCTCTGGTCTCTCTCTGGTCTCTCTCTGATCTCTCTCTGGTCTCTCTCTCTGCTCTCTCTCTGGTCTCTCTCTGGTCTCTCTCTGGTCTCTCTCTGGTCTCTCTCTGGTCTGTGGTCTCTCTCTGGTCTCTCTCTGGTCTCTCTCTGATCTCTCTCTGGTCTCTCTCTGGTCTCTCTCTGGTCTGTGGTCTCTCTCTGGTCTCTCTCTGGTCTCTCTCTGATCTCTCTCTGGTCTCTCTCTAGTCTTTCTCTGGTCTCCCTCTGGTCTATCTCTCTCTCCTCTCTCTCCTCCCTCTGGTCTCTCTCTGGTCTCTGGTCTCTCTCTAGTCTCTCTCTGGTCCCTCTAGTCTCTCTCTGCTCCCTCTGGTCTCTCTCTGGTCTCTGGTCTCTCTCTAGTCTCTCTCTGGTCCCTCTAGTCTCTCTCTGGTCCCTCTGGTTTCTCTCTGGCCTCTCTCGGGTCTCTCTCTAGTCTCTCTCTGGTCCCTCTAGTCTCTCTCTGGTCCCTCTGGTTTCTCTCTGGCCTCTCTCGGGTCTCTCTCTCTCCTCTCTCTGCTCCCTCTGGTCTCCTTAGGGTCTCTTTCCCTCCTCTTGCTCTCTGCTTCATTTTGCACCAACTTTTTCTCCTACTCGCTCTGGCTCCAATTAACATGTAAAACTAAAAACAAACAAACAACAACAAACTCGCTACTTCCGTGGTCATTATTGGTTTACTGCATTTTCGTTTTAATTGGATCCACAGAAGACAAAAAAACAAACCAATATTTCAATTTTGCATTAAATTCAAATATTGAGAATCAAAAACATCCCTTGTTATTCGTTTTTTCAATGTTGGTTTTATTTAAAAAATCAAAAGAACGAATGATACACGGATTATCCTGCTGTTGTCATTGTGGTATTGTCTTTGTAAATCCAGATATGAGCCGTATATGGATTGACCAATCACGTGACGTTCATTCATTCACGCCAGCTTAGCTTAGCAACCGTCTTAGCAACACATTTGCCCCTGTTACGATGCTAAGCTAACGCAGTCGTGCTCCAACTCCAGCTAGCTGCTATTAAAGATGACATAAACATAGACAACTATTACCCATCCACTATAGTTCCAGTAATTTCTCAGGTTCTTTACAATCACATCCTGTGTTTGCGGCTGGTAATTTTCAAATATAGACAAAATAAAACATGTAAATTCAGCTTCTCCTCCTTGTGGCAGCATCGGGAGTTACAGCCAACTACCTGAAGAGTCTACATTATTTCCTTATCATTTCTAATTGACAAAAATAATCCCTAATATTCCAAGCGCTGGTTCCTAACTTTCTTCTTTCACACTTTTTGACCCAACACAAAAAGTTGTATCTTTTGTACACTCGATAGAAAAATCCCTGAGAGCTGATTGGCCGAATGAGGGAGGTCCTCTTTTTTCACTTTTTTGTTTGAAAAAGCTGATTTAAAGTTGCTACTGAGGCCCAAATACTTTTTTATGATTTTATGACTACGTTAATTTAGTTTTTAGAAATGAGGTGCCCTAGCTTTAACTTATAATGTTCAGAATATTGTGGAGCTGGGACTTACTAGCAGCTGTGAGAGAATAGACTTTTGTTTTAGTTTGAACTGGAGTTTCAGGAACCTGGACTAGTCTCAGCCTGTAGAACCCGGGCCCCAGGGGACGATCCAGGGGCCCTCAGCATAACACCAGGAGAGGACCGGCATGACACTAGGAAAAAGACAGGAGAGGACCAGCATGAGACTAAGAGAGAGACAGGAGAGGACCAGCATGAGACTAAGAGAGAGACAGGAGAGGACCAGCATGACACTAGGAGAAAGACAGGAGAGGACCAGCATAACACTAGGAGAAAGACAGGAGAGAATAGAAATTTATTTTACTTTCTTCTGACTAAACCTCATTGAAACGAAACAGACTTAAGGCACTGACTTTTGTGTGTACGTGACTTTTGTGTGTACGTGACTTTTGTGTGTGCGTGACTTTTGTGTGTACGTGACTTTTGTGTGTGCGTGACTTTTGTGTGTGCGTGACTTTTGTGTGTGCGTGACTTTTGTGTGTGCGTGACTTTTGTGTGTACGTGACTTTTGTGTGTGTGCGTGACTTTTGTGTGTACGTGACTTTTGTGTGTGCGTGACTTTTGTGTGTGCGTGACTTTTGTGTGTGCGTGACTTTTGTGTGTGCGTGACTTTTGTGTGTACGTGACTTTTGTGTGTGCGTGACTTTTGTGTGTGCGTGACTATTGTCTGTACGTGACTTTTGTGTGTACGTGACTTTTGTGTGTACGTGACTTTTGTGTGTACGTGACTTTTGTGTGTACGTGACTTTTGTGTGAACGTGACTTTTGTGTGTACGTGACTTTTGTGTGTGCGTGACTTTTGTGTGTACGTGACTTTTGTGTGTGCGTGACTTTTGTGTGTACGTGACTTTTGTGTGTGCGTGACTTTTGTGTGCACGTGACTTTTGTGTGCGCGTGACTTTTGCTTGTACGTGACTTTTGTGTGTGCGTGACTTTTGTGTGTACGTGACTTTTGTGTGTGCGTGACTTTTGTGTGTACGTGACTTTTGTGTGTGCGTGACTTTTGTGTGTACGTGACTTTTGTGTGTGCGTGACTTTTGTGTGTACGTGACTTTTGTGTGTGCGTGACTTTTGTGTGTGCGTGACTTGTGTGTACGTGACTTTTGTGTGTGCTTGACTTTTGTGTGTACGTGACTTTTGTGTGTGCGTGACTTTTGTGTGTACGTGACTTTTGTGTGTGCGTGACTATTGTGTGTACGTGACTTTTGTGTGTACGTGACTTGTGTGTGCGTGACTTTTGTGTGTGCGTGACTTTTGTGTGTGTGTGACTTTTGTGTGTACGTGACTTTTGTGTGTACGTGACTTTTGTGTGTGCGTGACTTTTGTTTGTACGTGACTTTTGTGTGTACGTGACTTTTGTGTGTGCGTGACTTTTGTGTGTGCGTGTCTT